TATATAAGTGTTCTTATTCTTAAAAATTAGTTCTATTTTTAAAACCTGATGAAGAAGGTAGTAACCTTCGAAACGTCGTAATAAATAATAATTCGAAGTAAAAAGGAAGAGAAATTTTTGAACAATTATCTTGTCCTTCCTTACAATCACTCATTTTCGAAAAGATGATGTCAGGAAGATATTCGAAATATTAGAAGTATACTATGGTGTTAATATAGACAGAAATTGACAAAACGAAATGATGATTGAAATAAAACTTCGGCACTGGTCCGCACCGGTGCGAGATTTTTACATTGTTTCTGGGACTGGTGCTCATCGATGCTCCAGATCGATGCTCATCGATCATCTGAAGAGAGTATCTGTCGATATTTCTTTTGATAGCGTTGGTTGCAAATTCCTCGCAAACTATGAATTAGCCTGTCCTGACGATGAATATCATTTCTATGCTACCCTAGTAAAAATCGTTAACACTTCTTAAAAATAACTTAGTAAGGTCTTTTACTTTAAGATTTTTTGAGATGATAATCTAATGTTTAACTGTTCAAGATCGTAATAAAATTTAATGACTCTACTTCCATTCCATTGCTCTTATTCATCTGTATAGTTAGGTGTCTAGTTTAAATAAAACAAATCCAAACTCTGTAGCTTAAAATATATTAAAAAATCTTGCGAGATACTTCAGAGGTCTTTGTGAACCTCGATTTCTGGAAAACTCCTAAACTGCAAGATTTGGAAAAAAAGCAAAATTTTCATTCCGGTAACTTATTGCGCCTAATATTTATGGAAAGTTTCGTCAAGGTCGGATGTACCGTGCAGGGCAGGAAATGAGAGGGATTCAAGACTGAAAAGTTTTCTGAACGATCATCCGCGAGCGGATCAGAACAAAGAAACTTTATTCATCACGGATCTACTAGATGGATGACATTTTTCCAGTGATACTCTAATGCTTCACTCATATTTCTTCTTGCATCATATATTGAACCAATATATCGTAGAATAAGGGACGTATCTTTCATACGAGGTATCTTGCTTAATCATCAGTTCATAAGAGATGAAAAAATGCTCTGATGCTTCATTATAATTACCTCGTTTGCAGGATATTTCACCACGATGATAATAAATCAGCGCATCATCTCCATTTGTTAACTGATTAAACTATTTTCTGTTTTTGACACGTAACCTTCTTCACCAAGAAGTTTTGGTTTAGTCTTTTTTTCCATCATTTCATGTCGTTCTGCTAAATAACTACGTTTAATATTTGTGCTGTCTATTAACTTGATCTGGATAATCCAAATTTTCTTATTTTCATCAAATTCAAATGTACTGACAAGAAATGTTGCACCTAAATCGAATATTATCATATTTGTTTCAGGTCGGTGTACGTAAGTTGATACTGTATTGATCATTTCATATTCAAATAGAACAGGAATCGTATTCTCACCTTTCGATGAAGTAAGGGTATAAACTTCAATAAGTTCATTGTAAAATATCCATCAAAGGATATTATTAATTTTTCAAAATTATTAATATCTCTCAGTAAAAAGAAGTAGTTGCAGGACTAGTCGAAAAGTTGACCGCAGCTAACCATTAATATGGGAAAAAAGCTGATTAATTTTTGATTAGGAGTTTTTTCTGGCTTCGGGGCGTATTAACTTAAGTTGCTAGCTTTTGGAAGATCAAATATCGAAAACTTCTGAATGTACTGAAAAAATACTAAAACTGAATAGTAATCTCTACGAAACAGCTTTTAAACCAACGGAAAATACTAAACACTTATCCTCCTTCCCTTGCCGGATATAAGTAGACAATGTTGTAATTCCGTCAAGCACAACTTCTACCCCTTTTAAAACAGAAGGCACACTACCGTTTTTTGAATAGCTTTTTGATAGAAACAAGGTAGAGACCTATGGTCTTCAGATTATGGAAGAGGACACCGAGGAATAATTCTACGAAAAAACCAATCTCCCGAAAAGGTTTACCACGGTGTACCTTTTGAAACCTATAAATGTGAAGTCCAGAAACCCTGAAAGCACATGAAACGTAGATCTGCATAGATTTCTCCTGAAGATCTTTAGAGGTTTTCTGAAAAACCTATCAAAGATTCGATTTATTTTTTGTAATTCTCGTCGTGTGATCGGACAGAACTTCTTCTCTTATGATTACTCTTTAATTTACATACAATTTCGTTGAGAAGTGAAGGTTCTAGAAGGTTTTTATTTTAGTCCGGTCATAGCGGAAAAACCAAATTTTCTGAAAAATTCAACTTTTGAATTTTATTTAATTCTGACAATCAAACAAACATTGCACGAGATTTCCCACGTTCGAAAATCTACGTTTTATGTGTTTTTAGAGTTTTCCAATAAGAAACGGGGCCGCTAGAGAACGGACATTAAAAAAACACTTTTGTAGGATTCATCCGCTTGAAATACCCCTAGAGGGTTGTTTACGATGCCAAAAAACGGTCAAGGGCTGTTGATTCTAAAGAAATTTTTTACAGTGTAGTCAACATAATCTTTATTTTGAAAATGTTTCACCGAAGAATGATTTGAAAATAATTTGAAAAAGTGTTAGTCCGAGTGACGTGTGTTAGTCCGAGTGAGTGAGTTTGGAATTTCCTGAGGCTTATGTTCGGCTTGAAATTTTTCTCAGTGTATGTAGGCCCATAATCACTTATTCAAGAAAACAATGTCAAGCGTAAGTTACAATAAAAAGAGTCTAAGATGATCTGTTGAACACGTGTGCCTATATTCAGTCTTTGCTTACATGGAATAGCCAACATGTAAGAGAAAATCATATTTCACGTTCAGAAGAAATACACGCTTGAAATGTTCAAACTTGAAACTGAATTTCTGCAGTGCAAAACCTAGTAAACGTGAGTGAGTGAATACGCCTTTCCTTTATGCGTGGTCTACGTTTCGTTCAATTTTTACGATTCATCATGCCGATTTGTGGTAATAATTGGCCGTCCCGGTAAAAACACCCGTTTTCAAGCCGAGTTTCAGGAGCATTGACCACGTACAAGATTGAATCAGCGCCAAATTCGGCAGGACGAGCACCGGGTGCATTCTTATTTAGGTCGGTGGCACAAAATCCTGGACACACGGAAAGGACCAGTACATTTTTGGCACCCGACCATTGACGTGCTTCTATTCGAGTGAGAGCGATAACTGCCGCCTTTGTAACGCTGTAAATCAAATAAGATGACCTGGGATTGTATCCTAGTTCTTCGAAACTATTTGTCCCAACGGCTGAAATAAAATCTTCGACAAGACGATCAAGCTCCTCTATAGTCAGTGTCGACAATGAGTATTTTTCTTGAAGATCTTTCGAGGCCTCATACAATACGGTAAGACCACATGCGCTGGCCACATTGACCACGCGACCATTCTCTTGCATGAGGGGAAACAAATGTTCATTCAGTGTTTTGATACCATAATAGTTTACAGAAAACATTTCTCGAGCTAAATCGACAGTTAGTTCTAGCTCTCCAGTGGCAGCATTGTTGATGACTACATCCAGTCGACCGCCATACTTGCATTTGATTTCATCGGTGGCACGAGCGATACTTTCTCGTGATGATAAATCTAATTGAAGAAGGTGCATATGTGATGGAGAGCCTAGCCGAACGAGTGCATCTTGGCCTCGTTTCAACTCACGACTGCCGAGAAGAATAACATTGTTATTTGATGATTCTTCTGCGAGCTTCTTCACAATTTCAAACCCAATACCCTTGTTGGCACCAGTGACAAGAATCACACGTTGTTGGCTTGCTGATGACATGTTGAGAATAGAGAATGATCATGAACCAGAAAAGAAGAAAATGTCGCGTCATCGAAGTACGAGATAAGCTGCATACACTTTCACCTACATACGCGAACAGTCATGATAACACACACACCTTGCACACAAAAGTATGTAGTGTTTACCTCTGACAGTTTGAATAAAGATGTTATCAAATTCGAATACTCTCTAACTCTCTTTGAATAATTTAAGCTCTTAATATATGATAAAAATACAGGGAGAAATATTGTTAGATGTCTTCTGTACATGGAGAACAGTAAGCAGGTATAACATCTACATTCTTTCTTTTACATAAAATATGTACCCAAAAAGGCCACAACTGTATTACATGCTGCTTCTAGTGTCCATCTTTTACACAGTTACAATCCCATACATCCTTGCAACCAGATTAAGCGTTCTATGTATTTTTGTAGAATTCATGTAACGGGACCTCTGTGATCGTCGATTAAAATAATTCCCGAAAACTATCAACATTAACATTAAATAAACGTGTAGTTTGAGTTCCATAAAGCCTTAGGAACCGTCAACATTATTATACAAGAATTGAATCGTGGTGATGGATAACCGATTAAGTTATCAAAACCATCGACTGATTTTGACTGTTATATATCAGTCAAATTACAGAGCACCTCATCTTCCTTACAAGCACATCCAAGTACAATCGGGAAGTGGTTCCGAATAGCACAAAGTGTTTCTGAGCTTCCACCTTGGCAATGAAATTGTTTCCTTCAATTACAATCTAACCAAGGACACCGCATCACTTATACAACACCCATATAAGAGAACTTCGCTGAACAGGAACTGGAATATTAGCATTTGAAATATTTTCTCTTTAGAGACAAAAGTTTAGACTGAATAAAGCTTATATCCAGATGACTTATGCACTTTACAGTTTGTATGTCGTATTCGAGTTTTTGGCATCGAGAGCTCCGATTTTCGGTATTTGAAAGAAGTGACCTGAAGGACTGATTCCATAGGCAGACATTTTTTTGTCTTCAGAAAAAGAAAAAACTAGGGAAAACCAAGTTTGCCCCGATTTTCGCGAGTTTTGGGGGTCAAATTCTCAGTTTTGAGCGAAATGCCAGAATTTTTTTCTAAATTGCCTTAGATTATGCAGAAATGTGTGATCTATCAGTTTAAACTTGAGAAAACAAGAAATCAAAACCGCAAATTCTGAAAATCCAAGATTTTTCAGAATTCTTTTCACAAAACCCTTCGAGCTCCGACCAAAAACCATTTTTGTTTTATAAATTTACTAGCTCCTATCTGAGCTCTCGAATGCAGGAAACCGCAAGCCTCTGTTTGCTCTCGTTCTGAAGTTATTTGATATACTCTGACAGCTTCTTTTAATGTAAAATGGATAGTAGTAGGATCGTTTCTCATATGCTGTTGGACTGACTTTTAACCGCTTGAGTAGGCTTATTTCATCTAAAATTTCATTTTCTAAAACTTAAAATGTAATTATTTATGTTGTAGAAGTGAAATAGTAGGATAAAAAACGTTTTTTCTAATTTTTTACGTCTCATATAATATGGTCACTTTAAAAGTATTCTGAACCAAGTGGTAAAAAATAGTGTTTCTCAAGGGAGAAATTGCGGACTTTAAATTTGAGCGAACTTTGGAAAGTCCAGCAGACTTGGGACGATTTGACCAGATCTACGCAGATTTTACCGGAATTTAAAGTCGCCAAAGTCCGCTCAAGTCGCGTTCACTGCTACATTCATGAGACATCGAGTAGTTTTTTTTTCAAAACCAATCGTTTTAGTGTATCATTATTACACTTCTTTCGTAGATAGTTCCAACAAGGTTTGAATAGTCTAAATGTTAGTCATTGATTAAGCAGTCATAAGAGCAAATTGACATTTAACTCTTTTCAATCAGCCCTTAATACATTTTACGCTCATCATCTTCATTCTGATGCGTCTAACACGACTACTGATCCATCATTCACTGCCATCACTATTAATACTATTCCAAAACGCTTTAAATGTCATTATCAGTCCTATACTCTCATATCTTGTACGTCGTGTACAAGACATATCTGCTATAGTTGCATTGGATTCAATAATTCTAATACATACTCATGTACATTTTGTACAGTCAAAAAATCAACCTCAATATTCTGTCAAAAAATTCATTGTTTTAATCAATTTAAAAATAAATTTGCTCTTATGACTGCTGAATCAGTGACTAACATTTAGACTATTCAAATCTTGTTGGAACTATCTACGAAAGAAGTGTAATAATGATACACTAAAACGATTGGTTTTGAAAAATTTTTTGGTGCATCATGAAGGGCATCGTGTGCTGTGTATGAATGGTTCAAGTTTTTCTTGATGTCATTGCTAAATTAACCTTCTAAGTTGATTATAAGATCAATGAAGACGGTAAAATATTTCTGGAATATCGCTAAAATTCTTTCCAAGCGTAGAAGGTGTTCAAGAAGGACTCTTTTCGCCCAAGTTTCACATCGTATGATAGATTAAAGTATTCTGTATAAGTTTATCACTGGGTCTAGTGCAAAAATGCGCTTCTGGAAGTCGATGGAAACGGTTTTCCGTGTATACCATGCAATTTGAACGAAGTGACCGGAATTACCCCAAAGTACATATCTCTAAAAAATGACTATGTGTTTTGATTTCTCTAAATTGGAGTTAATTAATTAATGGTAAGTATGACCGCAGTGCAAATTAGAGTGAAGGTTTATCAAGTTCTGAAGAGGAGGAAGCAAATCAGAAGATCGAACAAAATAAGGTAAATAATTTTTTTCATAAATATTGACTGACGCTAGTTCTGTTAGGTGGTAATTCAGCTAGGACTTTCCGAGAAAATCCAGGTAAATGATAGCTTTTTTTTATCGGCAGCTATTTCATAACGTTCTTACGAAGAAAGCTCTTGATGAAACTAACCGAATCTTAGTTTGGTCGTATTCTTCATCAGTGGGAAAGATTCACCCAACATATCCAAGGAGCACTTATAGTCTTATTCTCAAAAACAACTAAACCCCCTCCGATATTAGAAGCTCGTGGGGGCTTCTATTTGGCCGTGCAAACTTTGGCCAAGTTTTGCTGGGAAAAACTGCAAATTTTGCTGAAGAGATCTCTTAAAGGGGCTTCTGTTACGAGGGGGGGATTACTACTACCCAGCAAACGAACGCTGCTGCAGTTCTGGATAAATGAAAATCATTAGTGGATACAATAAAATCTAAAAAAACATTGGGTTAACGGATCAGCGCATTGTACTGAAAAGAGCCATTAGCATGTAGTCTGCAAGTTCATCCTGTGTCCACACAAAAAGTGCTTTTGATCGTTTCAAAACCAGTGTGAAGTGTACTGAAATGATTGCTCTCTTATTGCATTGGAAATTTTCATTTCATGTTCTATACAACTACATAGTAATATGTACATTGCATGCGACTCTATGCATGATACAATCGTCAAACAAGTCAAGCATTAAAAATAATCTGTGACTCGCCCAAAGCAACAAGTCAAGCATTAAAAATAATCTGTGACTCTCCTAAAGCAAGACGAAATGTATTTTTGAACACGAAAATGGGTATAAGCTTTTCCTGTACTCCGAAGGAACATTCAGACGGATCTTTAGCGGGAAAGCGAAGGTAAGCTGATTTAAACTTTGCACAAATATTGTTCTATGTTTCTTATCTGTCTATCGATGGGTTTCTCAGAGGTTCTTCTAAACATCCGAGACTTTTTATATAAAATCTTTTTTTCCGTTTTCAACCTTTTCTTCCCTTTCATTCTTTTCTACGAAAAATGCCACAGCTGTCAAATTATCATTATACAGTATAACTATCAACCGCACGAGAAACTTCAGAACTTCAGAATTTCAAACTTATCTTTACACCGTGACCGATAGTCAATCTTCTAGAAAATGTTAGAATTTCAGGATTTCAGAATTTCAAACTCATCCTTATACCGTGTGCGATAGTCACTCTTATACAAAATGTCAGAATGAAGATGATTAATATTAAAGATAGATTGATCGTTATTAGAGTCAATAGTACTTGTTCAAATAATCAAATCTATTTGGATTGAAAATGAAGAATATCTATGATGACGCGATTTTCGTTTTGTTCAGAGATAATTCAATGAAAAATCTGATTAAGCTAAAAATGAATATTTCTCTTTCAGTTGGATTGAAATGAGTTTTTGTCGAAATATTTCAATATGATGAAGAGATCGATCTGTTCAAGAGAGAGTCGAATATTGTTGAAGTTAATATGAAGCAAGTTCAATGTCAATCGTCGCTTTGAAGATTCACATCGATTTAGTTGTGTATCTGTCCAATTTCTAATGGCGAGTAGAAAGAAAAACACTGAGTTCTTCCACATCTGTTCACTCACTAAAAGAGAATCGATTTTCGAAGATTTGAAAATAAATCTCTGGAAAATCTTTTCTTTCCAATCATTTACATTGAAATAATCGCTGAAGACATTGAATAAGAAATCGATTCGCTTTGACTTTCTCAATAAGATATGATAATTGGCCATGATCGAATTGATCGGTTCACTCTTCATCAAATTCTACTTCGATCAATGTTAACAGATCTAATCATTGATTGAATAGATCGAAAACAGGAAGAATTCAATAAAAGTGGAGATTTTTGTTTCTGAGGATCATTCTTATTTTCATATTTGCTTTATGAAAACAAATTCAAGAGTTGAATTTCTTCATTAATAAGTAATCATTCGTATAGATCGATTCTTTTTTCAATATCTTTTCAAGCTATAATTATTCAATCAAATGGAAAATCTCAATTCTATCCGTTGTTCGATTGATATCGTCTTCTGTCAAATATTCTTCATCGAATCAAATGAAAAGATTTTAAAAAAGTATTGTTCCTTTGATCAAAAACCTGTCATCGCAATATTCACAGTCGTAGAAAGTCAAGTCTATGCAGATTCTATTGATTATTTCGATCGAATATTTCTTGTTTCTGATCATAAAAACGAATTAATG